TTTTTACTCAAGATTAGTAAAATGACCATAACATTATTATGAATTTGTGTATTTCGAACTATCTTTTTTTCAGAATATAGCTCTAATCTTTCTCTGCAAAATGATATAATTTGATCAATAACTTCATAGAAGTTTGTTGTAGATATCATCAATTTACTGAGAGAGGTCAAAACTTTCTGATCACCCTTTAGTTTACAGTCATTATGCTTCCAAAAATTCGAATATTCAACATCAGAACGGCAGATTACACATCCTATTTATGAAAATAACAGAGAAAGATTTTTATCTAACTAACGATATGTCACCAAAAGCAGAAATTCTATTCAACTTTTCTTGTGTAGATCAAGACTTCTGATGATAAAAACATTAATTCTTATTTCAATACTTTTGTCAGTCAATTAATTTAAATTTTACTTGTAAAGAATTATTTTTCTTTTATAGCAAATAAAACAAATCTGTGATTTTCGATTCGAGAACTCATTTCAAATAAATTGTATGAGCATAAATTTTGAATAACATACTGTAATAATGCTCGTCTTGCTAGTGCTAATGCATGACAATCAAGTAGAGCACAACCATCTTCTTCAATATTATCCTGTGATGTACATCGACTACCAACACCAAATGCTACTACTTTTCCCATATCATTTAGACCTATTTAATTATTATTAAATAGAAAATATAATAGTTTTTCTTTTTTTTTTTATACAAACAAACTTTTTTTAATAATAAATGCCGCATAAAATCGATTTTTTAATGTATGAAAAATAGGTGAAGTATTTTGCTCTCGATGATATTTAATAAAATCAGCAATTAATTGACAATGTTGATCAAAAAGTGATGAAGACATTTGAGATGTACCATTTACTACTTATAAAAGACTAAATAAAATCAATTAACGGAATCAATTTATTATAGAAATTTTTACTTCTTTTTAATGAACGTATGAAATGAGCCTAGATTGATATTAACCAAACAAGAGTCCATTACTCCACATTATACTGCATTAGATATGTATATAACATAACGAGAGAGAGAGACAGAGAATCACCAATAGTTGTCCTTAGTTGTCGAACAAGTGTTGTATGAGAATTTTAAAGGAATTCTTTATATAGATATATTTTTTACAATCAAATATTACGGAGAATTTTAAGAAAAATAATTTATTTTTCTAATCTCTTTTTAACTTTATCATTTATAATTTTAGAAAATACATCCATCGTTCAGAAATTTGAAATTCATTATTCGGAGCGTTTGATTTGGAATTTTATTTGTCAATCTTTGGCAGTAGGATTGTCTGTTAGTGTTTCAACGATTAATCGAACTGCACTTTCATACTTTCAATAAAATTTCCTAATCGACATTGGATAATCGTCCTGAAGATATGAGATAATTTTTTTCGGATTCTTGTATTCGGTGACTAGTGAACTCTACACAGCTTCTACGGTAGAAAAGGCATTTTCCACTTTTTTTAGAAGTATTAGCAGAGAATCTCCACCTCTTCTCTGCAGACATGATCAATAAGGGTAAGTTCTTCTCACTACTTTATTGGTGACATTCATTTTTTATTAATATTCTTTTAAAAATAACGAAAAAAAACATCAAGAAAATAGCAAGATATTAATACAACTCTTGCAACATATTCGTCTTTATTGTTAGATCATCTAATAAAATTATTCATACGAATTAAATTATATCATATTACGCTATAAACGTTTGAGATAAAACTTCTACATTAAATATCATGTCTAGAAGAATATGTATAGAAGTTTCCAAACTAGAAGACTGTCATCGAGCGCCCCCTTTTCGTTTCGTTTTGTTTTCTAAGAAAATTGAATGCCTTTTTTTTCAATGGCGATTTTCTACATATAGATAAAAGTGTATGTAGCCTATCTCAATCATTTCAATATTCCTTTGTTTTGAACAAAAAAACATATTCAGTAGAATTTATATATTCTTCTATTTCTGTTAAGATGGATCCAGATAATAATATTACTAATAATGATAGTAATTCATCGTCGGAAGATTGTGTAGTTTTATCTACAAATTCTCCAAATCGTACTCTTTCGACAGAAACTGATACTAGTAAAACAACTACACCAAAAGTAAAATTATCAAAAACTGAATATGTAAGCAAGACAAAAGAAATTTTATATTTAAAAATATAAGTTTTTGTTTTTCTAGATGCAACGAAAATCTGAACGAGAAGCAAAAAAAGCAGAAGAACAAGCGATTAAAGCAGAGAAAAAACGTCTTGCAGAAGAATGTAAAATGATATATTTATCCATACAAAAAAAAAAAAATCATTTTTTTTTTAATTTTTAGTAAAAGCAAAAAAAGCTGCAGAACTTCAATTAGAAAAAGCACGAAAAGCAGAAGAACTTCAATTAGAAAAAGCTCGTAAAGCGGAAGAAAGAGCTCGTAAAGCTGAAGAACTTCAATTAGAAAAGGCTCGTAAAGCTGAAGAAAAAGCTCGAAAAGAAGCAGAAATTGCGTAACAATCTTTTTTTTCATATTTAATTCAATCATTCTTTTTTTTGCTTTATCCTTATTTCAGAAATAAAAAGGCTGAACAAATACAAAAAAAAGGACAAAAACAAGAATTAACTCCTAAACAAATGGCAACTTGTATCAATAGATATTTTAAACCAATTGATAAACCTTCACAAGTAAGGACTCATATAGACTAATTAACAAATGTTTTTATATCACCATCAACCTCGATAAAAATCCAGTTAACAAACAAGTTGTATTTATTTACATAATGTTGATGAATACTACATATCTCTACTGTAAGGTATTCGTAATTTGTAGATTAGTGACATCAGTTACATGTCAATAATAACAGATTATTAATAAAAATATAGCGCTTATGTTCAACTAGCAGTTTACTGTACTATTGAGACCTTGTAGTTGACGGCATCAATATGATGATTATAGAGTTCAATAGCCCACTGCTTGAGAATGCCTGAAGTGTACGTATTGAATTCATGCTGATCTATATATTGTTCAAAGACAATGTGTAATAGTTAGAATAAGAATGTTTATAGTAAAATAGTGACGATTCCTGAGCAGATGATATATGAAACTTGTATTTTATATGGTTCAACATTGACCTATACACATATGATCTTGATTGTTCGTGTGTTATAGGTTAAAGGTCAAAGGTTATACTTTAAGGTCAATAAAAAGAAATAGATTTTAAAATATTCTCTCATGTTTTATAGCATATTTCGAAAAACATCAAAGGAAATTCTAGCTTAACTCTTAACGTTCATTATTACTGAGTTTCATAAACAACAAAACTTTCTTTTTTCTAAAGATGTGAAGTTCAATACGTAAATAAGAATCATCCATAATAATTTCTTGTTGTTCGATCGGACATCTAGTTTACGCATAAGGATATCTCAATCAGAGATCGAATTCGAATTTATTTTCGAAACGATACTTAAATCATCATCGATTTTGAAAGAAGTGTGGTATCGTCGGAGAAGATTAAGGCCCCCCCTCCCCCTCAAAAATCGATCTCAGCCCAGATATGTTCAAATGGGCTGAAATTTGGAGCATATGTTGGGGCTGAAGTGAGGAGGCTGTGGTAAAATTTTCAGCTCGATACTATGACGTTTGACAGAGATATGAACCAAACAAGGGTCAAAAATAGCTCATTTTCTGTCCAAGANAAACTTTTTATCAGCTATGAAAGAGCAGATCACGGGCTATCTTCCCATGCATTTATCTCCATTTCGACTTTTTTGACGAAAATTGACTTTTTTTGAGGGGGAGGGGGCCTTCAAACGAACTTTTATTGCCTGTTTTACATGCTATATATCACCTTCACTACATGGCATAATTCTTTTATTTTTTCTCGCTTAAATTTTGTCAATTTTCTGTACTGCGACAAATAATCGTCTCTAGTAGTGTAAAACTAATATTAGCAATCAAATACTTTTCCTCTGTCAGCTGCAATCGATACAAAATACTTAGGCTTTGGCGGCGATGGTAACTTAACTCTCTAGATGAAAACAACTCGATACGCTCATTGATCTCAATCGGCTAATATTTTAGTAATAAAATTCTTTATTTAATTTAGAAAGATGGTCAAACATCAACAACAAATATTAATAATATCGTTCAACGATCAACAAATAATTTTGACCAACTGGTTTCGAAACAGGTTTCATTTTTTTTTCTTTTAATATTTATTTAATATTATATTAATTCAATAGGATGTTAATTTCGTATCGGATATAATTGAAAATATAAAATCAATGAAAAGAATCAATATTGAAATTAATTCACGTCCACGTTTGAACAGGTTTATATTTATCTATTTTTGTTTTTTGAAGAAAATCTATTCTTCTTTTCTAGTGATTCGAATAGTAATCTCATAGTAATAATAGCAGCCACAACAACAACAACTGCAAATAATTCATATGTATTAAAAACTAGATATATTCATTTTCCAGAAAAATATTTTAATCGTCCACCTTACTACGGAACATTTAAAAAAGCTTTAAATATTAATGTTAATCCATTACAACCAAATGCATCGATTGATAATGTATAATTTTTCATTTGGATAATCATATAGTATTGATCATTATTATTATTATTATTATTTTAAATAGGTTGATTATACAGTTGATTCAGAAGGTGAATGGGAAGAACTATGTAAAGATGGTGAAGAACTTCGTTCGGATGCTGATGATTTAAGTGATTCAGAAACAATGGATAGTGAAAGTGATACTGATTCATTTATTGTACCACATGGTCATTTATCAGATGATGAATTAAATGAAGATGAACAACAACAAGTAAAAAAATAAAATAGCATGAAAAATTTCATTTTATTTTTGAGCATTTTTCTTCTATTAAGTCTACATCGACAAAACAAGCTCGTGAAGCAGCTAAAACACATGTATGGGATAAGAAAGTAGCACGTTTAAATCAACAACGAGAATTAAAACCTTTATTTGGTTGTATTTATGATCCAACATTAGATGAAAAAACGAAATTTGAATTATCAAATTATCTTCATCCATTTCAAGTAAATTTTAATGAGAGAAAAAAATATTAAATTTCATTATTTTTTTTTTCTTTAGAGAATTCTTGTACCAAAAGAAATCTGTCAACGCATAGAACAAGATGATAAAGAACAAGAAATTACTGATGAAACAACTTCGAAAGAAGATAAAAAGAAAGGAGTATCAAGAAAAAAATCATTAGTTTCTAAAAAAGGTTAAATTAAACGTTTTTTCTTTATTAACATATAGCATAAAAATGACATCTTCGATCTTACCATGATTTTCCTACATGAAACTGCATTCAATTTGCAGAAAGCTTCAGAACATCAGTCATGGCAAAAATTTCACAAAAAAAAGAGAAACAATTTTTCTTGGACCTTTCGTAAATTAAATACAGTTTGATGAAGGATGCTAATGTAGCGATCGAAAATATCGCATCTCGCTCTATCAAATAAACCACATGTTACTCTTTCTATTTATGAATAATCCTACAAGGAAATGTTTTCAACTGATCAATCATGCTAGTTAATCTACAATCCTCTAGCTTTCGATAAGAAAGCGATTGATAAATAGTTGAATTACGCATAGTTCTCTAAGATAACGTCTATTTTACTTTTTTTGTTAATCCTATTATCAATAAAAAGAAATTTATTTGAATAAGTTTAACGTCTTACGTTGGAGAATCTCTTTAACTGATATCCACCATGTAAACTTCTATTTGTCTCACAGTGTAGATAAAAGCCTTGAAGAATAACAATCTTAGGCTGTGGATGTTTGAGAACTTGAAGATTTGTCGTGAAGAAAATTTTCTTGTTGCGACTTTATTCGTAATATTCTACAACAAGCAGAAATTTTACTTAAAAAAACTATATCTTGAGAACAAATGCCTAATGGCACCAACCCTTTTAAGGCTTTTACTTACACTATGAGAAAAATAGAATGTACCAATAGGAGAGATTCTCTTGCTAGTTACGGCTTATAACAATAGAATCTTGTTCATGAAATTTAACGAATTTTAATATATGTTAGGTTCGACTACTACTGATCCACAACAACTGGTGGTAAATACTCCTTCAATTGCAACTCCAACAGTTAAACGTACTGGTTCAGTATCAAATATAGTTGAAGCAGCATCACCATCAAAACGTCGTAAAATGAATTCAAATGAAAATTGTTCGATAATTGATGATTCAGATGTTATTATGAGTAGGTTAAAATTATCTTATCTTTTTTATTACAATAAATCATTGTTATTTTTATTTAAGCTGATATTGAAGCTATGAATACAAGTAAAATAAATGTATTAGAAGATGCAAGTAATGTTTCGGATATAAAATCTTCTCCACTTACAATTATTTCAAATGATGAAATAAAACTTGATAGTACACCAATATGTACACTTCTTATACCAAAACGAAAACAACCACCTGCATGATCTTTATTATTCTAGTCAAATATATTGTCGATGTAGTATTCATCTGTATTTGTATATACGCTTTATTATAAAACATGAATCTCTATACATTATATATATTTTTTTTTTTGGTCTATATTTCATAAAAAAGAAAAGCATACAACTGATTTGTTTCTTGTGGTTATATAGTAGTTGATATTTCTTTTTCTGTCTTGTTCCTATAAACAGTTTCTTTTCTTTTTTTTATATTTCTCTTTTGATGAGAAGAGGAGAAATGAACAAAGGTATATATGTGAAATTTATTGTTGAGAATAAAAAAACAACATGAATTATATTGAATTATTTTGTTGGAAGAACATGGTTTGTTAACACATGAAAATGTCTTTATTTTTCATTCTAGTCGTGTCAAGTAGATTAAGGACAACAGAAAATGAAGAGGAAAAAAAGAACGAATAAAAAAAAAAAGAACACATCTGTCTTCGTTCTTCGAAAATACTATTCATTTGTGTTATTTATAGTATTCTATTCACTTTATTCTTGTCTTATTCTTTTACTTAGGATTTATCTTCATTATCAATAGTTATCAAGGCAATCAAATTGAATGAACGTAACGCTTGACTAGTTCGTCCTGCATTTTCATTTCTCCTTCATTCTGATCTTGACGTTTACGATAGACATTTATGCTAAAAATTTAAAATGACAGAAACGACTATTATTTCTGTTCCTGACATTGACGATAATGATGAAGATCTTATTCATACAAAAACTTTTTTTCGACGTCATTCAAAAGGTCCTGTTATGTTTAATGGATGTTCACCATCAGGTGATGTTATTATTATTGATAATATAAGTACAAAGAAAAAATATGATTTAACTGGTTGGTATATTGAACGACAAACAGATACATACCCAATACTTCGATATAGATTTACAGATCACTTTGTAATTCTACCATTAACAACAATAGAATTATGGTCGAGTACAGCAACACCAGTTCCTATACCACTTGAAACTCAAGAACAACAACAACAATCATTTGTTTGTATTACAACGAAATTATTAACATGGAATAATGCTCGACAATGGAGTATTACTCGACTTTATGATAATAAAGGACATGAAAAAGCTGTTTTCTCACATCAAACATTACCAGCAAAAGATAAAGAAAAACTAGAATAAGAAAAAAAAAACCGACCAATACCTAATCAGATAACCTTAGAACGATGTCAAAATCATATTGACTATTTACCTATTTTTAATATTATTTTTATTTAACAAAGAAAAAAAAAGATAAAATAAAATTTATTACTCATATTTAGTAATCAGCATTCTATATTTCCATGAAATGTTTTGAAGAAAATTTTTATCGACATTATTTTATCCATTTATTAATAATTCATGTTACCTTTTTTTTTCTTTTTAACTCATTCGATTTTAGCAAAATGAAACGTTGTGTATGGATCGATGCTATTTGTTGTCATAGTGTGAGTATTAGAGATTCATTTTCATTCGTTTTTTTTACTTTTTCTGCGCATTCAAATAAGTTTATGACAAAATTTTTCTGCATTTAATAAATTATTTTTTTTTTATATGAGTGCACTTACCATGCTTCATTACTGACGGGCTTCTCTCTTTATCAGGTATCGTGGGAAAATGTCTTGTAAATACATGTTTTAAGTATTAATCTTGTACAAACTTGTGAAAGTAAGTAATACGAGTTAATTAATTGGTTATTTTTTCGAAAAAGTTTTCGTTCTATTTATTACAAAACTCAAAAAAAAAAAATCTATTAACATTTGTTTACTATTTTTTTTTTAAATTGCTCAAAATATTAAACCTAGAAGTTTTAACTACTTATGACAATTAACAAACCGAATTGAACATGTATTAAATAATTTTGTGTTAGTGTTGAAGCTAAAGAAAAAATCAATCGAGTGTATCCTAATGTTCAGATAAGAAGATAATGATGATTATACAATAGCAAGTCAAGTATATGTATAAGAATAATTTAGAACAGACGTCTGCAATGAAATGAAAAAGTTTAAGTGTACCGTCTCTTGATTTGATACACTTCTGGTTCTCGAAGTAAATACGACACGCGTCCCAGTAAATCAATTATAAACAAGGTTTTTCGGGAAAACTAATTTTTCATAAGAGTATATCAAGTCTGCTTACGACCCCCCGTCTAGCTGTGTCCTCCGATCGAACTGAAATTTTTTTTGCAGATAGGGTGTAGGTGGCGTGTTGGTGTAGCTAAAGAGAAGAGTAAACTCATGCCCACACCTGCATCCTCTTTAAGAAATATTTGTTTCAATGAGCTGATCACTTTCTATTTTTAGTAGTGATTATAGTTATGAAGGAATATAAATAAATTTTCATATCTAATTGAATTTTGATCATACTTTATCGGAGCGAAAATTATTTGTATTCCATCTAAAATGAATGAGTTAGCTAAAAACTACAAATTCTAGGGTATCAGTTGAAAAAAGAATTTTATTTATGATAAAAGTTACTTTTTTTTTTTGAACATTTTATAGAGTGATTTGTGCAGTAATTTTGAGGTAGCATTATTAATACCATTTGTTCGATATGGGTACGAGGTGTGGGTCAGTATAAGATTAACACCCACATCTTTCTAAGAAAAAAGATGTTCTTGAGAACGGATTGAAATAAGTTTCGGATGACTCTGAAACCAAATTCGGTTTCCGGATTGATCCTGGAGACCTACACAAGGGTTTCTGAACTTCGGAAACCGAAAAGGGTTTCCGAATTCGTTACTATCAGAAATCCTTAAAAGGTTTTCGAGAAGTAAAAAATAGATTTTTGAAGCCCAGAAACTATTTTATAACCTGTGATGCAAAAGTAATGGGACAAATGTCGGGCCCTATTTCTCTGCGATAAAATAGTGCTAAAAGAAATGTTTTTTTACCAGCAGATAAAGCTGTTTCTCCTCTTTCGAATCTTATATAATTTATTTTTGTAACACGTTCATAAATGAAACGACGTCATAAAAAAGAGAAGCACCTTTCAAAAGAATCCGCACTTTTTGTGAGATTCGGAAAAATGGCACAAAGTGTCAATCCTTAATCTCTTTGATAAATAGCTCCTGAAAAGAATATTTTTGTTTATCAGTTGATAGGAAATTGTCTCCTCTATCGAACAGTGTATGATTTATATTTATCAGACATTCATAAATGAAATGAAACCAAAAAAGTTTGTAAAATGGCGGTTACTTCGACTTTTATAAATTCGCTAAAAACATCTTGTAAAACGACAGTTAATAATAATTAACGTTTGTTCACAAGATGTTTTTGATGGATTCATATACAAATTACAAATTTGTTTCGCGAGTGCTTTTCTTTTTTCTTGTTGTATTTCATTTACAAATGTCTAACAAAAAACAATATTCTTTTCAGGACCTATTTCTCGAAGAGATTAAGATTCGAGCTTTTATACTATTTTTTTTCTATAAAATGTGCGGTTTGTTTTTAGCGATGTTTTTCTTTTCTATTGTGTCGTTGTATTTATGGGCGTGTTACAAAAATAAATTGTATACGACTCGAAAGAGGAGAAAAAGCTCTATCTGCTGGTAAAAAAATATAGCTTCTTGCATCCTTCTATCGAAAAGATATAGAGCCCGACATTTATCTCATTACTTTTGTATCATAGGTTAGGTTTTCGGGATCAATCCGGAAGCCTAATTTGGTTTTAGAGTCATTGGAAACTTATTTTCGTCCTTTTCCCAGAATATCTTTTTTTTTCAGAGATCTGCGTCCTCATGAAGATTTTACAACTTATGTTTCATTCGAAAAAGAAGTTTTTCAAAACTGAGTAATGCGTGTTTTGATTGTGGGCCAAGACTCACTGTACATAAAAATTATCCATTATCTTAAAAGATATTTCATGTTGTACAAGAGTTGCAAGATGCTGATATGAAAGAAAAAACTAAAGTCTAAAACACTAATGTGTTGTTTTTTGTTAATATTTTTCGTTCTGGTTATGATTCCAGAATTGGAATCAATTCACAAGCATGTCGGCAAATCAGAAAATTTGAAAGCAATCAGAAAAAAACATCTCCAAATTGGATTTTTCCTTCCATATCGAAACATCTGGCATTCCTGAATACACCGGGTTACGATTACATTCTGTTCAAAATGATGTCATTTGTTCTTCTACAACGTCTATATGTATTATCCTCCCAGTAGAATATATTGGCTTACGTATTGTACTAAAAGTTTTTCTTTATCTTCAATGTGCGTTTGTCAACTCTTTTATCATGCACAATAATTATGTATGTATATGTACATGATTTTAATAATTTTACTGATAAATGGCAGTAAAATAAAAATTTTGTTTTTAATAAAAAATTCAAAATGTGTTTTTTTTGTCTTGTTTTTGGTTTAGTTGAAATGAAAGGTTAGCATTGCCATTAAGATACTCTGATTTATCTTGACATGCTTTTATAACATAATTAATTCATAAAATTCTATCTCGAAATGATATTCGAATTGTTGGCAACATTTCGATATCATTGTTTCTTCCTTTACGTGAGTTTTTTAAATATCAGAATTATGTATTTGAATTTCAGAACATTTTGACGAGGTATTACAAGATAATCTCAAAGTTCTCGGAATTTGCTGCATCCATTAAGGGAAGACCTTATTTCATTCATGTCTCTAAGTTATATATTCGAGGTAGCTGCTATGATATTCCATGGAAAGTTTCGTCCTTTTAACTCACCATTTAGATATCCTTTTAGAGTAAGCGATAGTTATTGAATTGACTTCTTTAGTTATTGTCTGGATTTCGATAATTTTTGATCCCTCAAAAGTTTCGCGACGTTTCTAAATGGTGAGCAGATGTTACGTGATACCATTGATAAGCCGTCGCAATATTGAATCAAAAATCATTATCGGAACGTAAGTCATCAAGAGAAACTAGTCCATAAAGCAATATTAATGGTTACGGATCTCAAACAACAATAGTATAAATAAACTGTTACATGACTTCCAAATAATTACTCGTTAACTAGTGTTCTTCTATAGTCAATGGTAACTATATCTATAGTAGTGATAAATGTTTAATTTCACAAATAAAAAGATTATTGAACAAACAAGGTATCCTCAGGATCTAGTCCGATAGAACCTGGAGGTTCCAAAGAATGCTCGAAACCAAAACCGTGATTCTGACTTCGGCTCTGGTTATATAAACTGAAAAAAAAAAGGTTTCTAAAAATTGGAATCGAAACCGTTCATTGACTGTTGGGCATCAAACGATTAATGTTAGTTTTTTTCAGAAATTTGGGTGTTTCTTTTTTTCGAAATGATTCGTATTTTTTTATCAATAAAAGATGGTTTCTTGAAATTGTAGATAAAAAAAGAGAAACTATTTTATCAGATAATTATCTCTTTACCCTTGCATAGGTTCCAGAAAAATCACTGATGAAATAATTTCATAGACAGAGTACTAGTCTACTAGATATGTTAATTATGTGGCATAATCAATCGACTGTCTACCTCTTTGTAATAGGGTCCTTTAATTAGTCTATTGATCGTATGATGAAGTAAGGGAATGGAACGACATAGGAAGTTTTGATTTTATTTCTTTGGCAATACTGTTGAGTGTGCAACACCAACATCTATCTCATCTTATTGGAGTATTGGAAAACAAAATGAGCGAACCGTTAAAAATTAGTGTTAAAAGAAAACATGTGCTTGCGACACATCATCCTAAGTAAGCATCTACTTTGCTTTGAGTTATTTTACAACTTCTAAAGACATTTAATTCATAATAAATGCTATTCTAACTTCTTATGCAGAAAATGTTTTTTTTTCAAAATTTTAGATTCTGTAGGCACGACGTTTCAAAGACCGAGAGATGAAAAAAAATATTTTAACTAATCGATGACCTATGAAATTCACGACAAAAAATGTTCGGGTTGTTTTCAAATCCCATGCTTCCTTTACTTTCTGCAATCGTTCTACAAATCGCAATTCCAGTTGCTTGTGAGGAGTAAAAGGATATGAAACTGCTTATGGTATAAAAGCGCTATAAAATGAAATGGGATCGTCGTATTCTCTCTTTTCATGAATATCATCACAAGACTTAATGTTATCTGAATTTTTTTAAATTTCTTAATTACTGCTATTATTGTATCTACGAATTGTTTTTCATAACAA